AATGTAATTCAACGTGTTTTTTTTCATCAACGACTTTTGTCATTAATTTACTTCCATTCTTCTTGGGCGAGTTTCAAAGAGGTTGAAACAGTTAAGCTGACAAACTTTGACAGACATTTAATCATACTTTTACACGAACATAAAGAACTTTCTTTGGCAACCTAAGACGATTTCACAGTGTTGTATAACAACATAAGCCGAAAGGTTACAGTCATGACCTGCTTGTCCGATCCTCGTGTGTGCCACGCCTCCCGACAATTGGGAATTAACACGAGGTAACGAGGGGGGCGTGGCACACACGAGGATCGGACGAGCAGGTCATGACAGTTACTAAATCCCAAGATACACTGATCAGCCATAACATTAAAACCACCTGCCTAATATTATGTAGGCCCCTGCAGAAAACTGCTCTGACCCATTAAGGCATGGACTCTATAACGCCTCTGAAGGTGTCCTGTGGTATCTGACACCAAGACGACAACAGCAGATCCTTTGCATTCCATTTGAACTGGGAAATGAGAATTTCGGCCAGCATTAACTTTTTCAGCAATTTGTGCTACAGTGGCTCTCCTGTGGGATCGGACTAGATGAGCTGGCTTTCATTCTCCACGCGCATCAATGAACCTTAGGCAGCCATGACCCCATCACTGGTTCACTGCTTGATCTTCTTTGGACCACTTTTCATAGGTACTGACCACTGCATACTAGGAACTCCCTACAAGACCTGCTGATTTGGAGATATTCTAACTCAGTTGCCTACTGTAGCCATTGCAGTTTGGGTCTTGTCAAAGTTGCTAGTCAATCCTTATGCTTATCCATTTTTCCTGCTTCCAACACATCAAATTCAAGAACTGACTGTTCACTTGCTAGTACAGTATGTAATGGTACCCATGCCAGGAGCCATTGTAAAGTGATAATTAATGCTATTAACTTCACCTGTCAGTGGTTTTAATGTTACAGCTGATCGGTTTATAAAGCTGCAGCACATGACAAGCTTAACAATCATGGATTGTTGCCTTAAAACTTCAGGTACCTGGCTAAAATGCTGTGTGTTTCAACAAAGCGTAGCACTCTTGCAGAAATTGAGAATTGTGAGATAATATAAGCATGGCTCCTACAAAATAAAATGTTGTTCTCTGGCAGAGATAAATACTTTATCATTTAAAAATGTTTAGCCTTTTCAGGACCAGTCCACGCCCTGTCCGGTCTGTCATCCCATTCCTAACATTTGAGCACTGAGTGTTAAATGGTAATGACCTTCACCTATGTCTTGTTCCCAGCCACATTGTTTAGTTAATTGTTATGGTCCGCACCTGCCCCTCACGTAGCCCTCATTATAAGTGTATATATTTGCTTACTCTTGCCTTATTGGTTGGTCATCGTGGATGTAGATGTTCATGCTGTGTGCCTTGGTCCCAGTTTGTTGTTACCTGTGCTATTTCAGTCTTTGTCCCTTAAGGTTTACCTTCCTTGCTCCTTTACTTTTCTGGCTCCCTGTATGTTTTATATCAGTTAATAAAGTCCCCTTCTGAGTGCAAAAGCTGCATATGGATCATTCCTCTGTCCCCTCATCTCGACGTGACAAACCCCGATTTTCAGAGAACACTACCTTTTTATCCGTACTATTCAAATCTCAGAAAGCACGGTATTAAATATTTGCCTAAAGACTTGTCTGTAATGTGATATTATTATACTATGTCACTTATGACATTCCAGTAAAAGATGAGAGCTGTTAAGGTATTTATGTAGGTGCACGAAACAGACCCCAGGCTATCAGCACAGCCCTGCACCAGGTAAGTGGGTGTATAAGATGGACAGAAAACGTAAATCATGACTGTAAGACTGTGAGAGCATATTCATTTACTTTATTTTCTGGTTTCACAAGATTCTCTAAAACGAGAATCTCTGAAGTAATTGATTACCTGGCTGGTAGTTAAACAGACAGCTGTACAGATATGGTATATTTGCTTTTAACATTTGCATTTAGTGTCTGTAGTGAGCTATGTCTGTTAAACTGTATATTGTGTGAAGCCTGAATCATGCCACAAAATTAATAAAACATCTGCACATAGACAATGAACAGTATTCTGCTAACATTAATATTGATACGCAGTACAAACTACAGATACAGTGCTCACAGGAAGTCTTGGGATGCCTGCTTAATTCAGTAAATATTGCAAATTCATTGTTTTTTTAACAGATCATTACTTCATTCATTTACAAAAAATGCATATCACATTAGAAACGATTGGAAGTTTTAATACAAGACATTAATTTCAAGTACTAACAAACTGAAATACAAATTTTAGATATAAAAGAGCTGTTCTGAGTTAAAGTTCATTGACAAGCATCATTGGGTGGTTTATAATTAGTAACACCTTTGCAATTACATAAAACACCAAACATTTGTTTAGTGTCGCTTTGGGAGCCAATGACTATAATTGTAATTAATAACAAAATGGTAAGAAAAGAACTGAACGAGTCAGACAAAAAAAAATCAGTAAGTAAAGGTAAGTAGTAGTTTGTTTCTATAGAACTTTCCAAAGCATGAGCTACACAGTGGTTTAGAACACATTTTAAAAGAAACTTATTCCAGAAACAAACACCACACAAGAACACTGAAAGACCAAAACCAAAACATTAAAAGAGAAAATATTAATAAAACATAAAAAGTCACATCAACTCACTGCTATTAAAATCTAAAGAGTAAAAATGTGTTTTTAGCTGCCTTAAAAAAGTGTCGAGATAGTCAGACAGCCTAATGTGATGAGGGAGATTATTCCATAATCTCGGGACAAGAACGGCAAAAGCGCAGTTCTCTTTTCACTTGAAATTAGTTCTAGGAACCACTAACAAATCTTGGCTAGAGGACCTTTGAGACCTAGAACTTGCATGCACAATCAACAGTTCTCAAAGATTTTCAGGAACCTTACCATTCATGGCTTGATAGGTTAGCAGCAGTAGTTTACAATCTATTCTAACTTCACTGGGAGCCAGAGGAGAGAAGTCAGCACTGGACTAATATGATCAAAGTGTCTAAGCTTTGTAAGAAACCGAGCCACTGCATTTTGCACCAGTTGAAGCCATTCTAGAGTTTTCTGACTACGGCACGTAAATAACAAATTGCAATATTCCAGGGAAGATGACACAGTTATGAATAATTGTTTCCTGAAAAGGAAGGGCATGTCTGAGTTTTGCAAAGTTTCTTAACTGGAAGAAGCATGGTTTCACTAGTATCTTTACACAAAGAGAAAAATTTAACTGAGAATCAAAGATAATGCCAGAGTTAACATAGAAATTCACCTTGGATCCAAGGGGACCTCATTCAGTTTTAAGAAGTTGCATGGCATCCAGGCCTTAATCGCTCCTATACACTCAGATAGATTATCTAACATACTGACCTCATTGCGTTTTAAATGAGAGCTGAAGCGGAGTGTCATCCGCATAAAAACTATGACACTTAATAAAAAGACAATGTCTTTGTGGAAGACGTGTGCAGATATGGTAAACATTGCTTGTCACTGGACTTCTGTTATGAAATCAGTAAATTTGCAACTTTATTACAGAATTAAGCAAGCATCCTAAAACTTTCCGTGAGCACTGTATTGGCAATATTATCTATTTTTCAACTGTATATTAGTCAAGGTCATGGGGTTGGACTGTTGTCTGTCCTGTGCAGCATAGGGGACACAACTGGGGTGAAACCTGAAAAGGATGCCAGTCCTCAGGGCACACATGCACACACGCGCACAACACACACACACATGCACACACACACACACACACACAAAATGGGAAACTCAGAGACACCAATTAGCCTACCTGTCTCTTTGGCCTATGGGAAGAAACTGGATGACCATTTAGACGCGCAAACTCCACAAACACAGAGTAGCGATGAGACCGAATCCCCTGACCATGGAGGTGTGAGGCCAGCGTGCTGCCCTAGGGGCAACATTATTGAAAATATAAGGGACCCTGGAAGTTTGTGTAGAGTGTCACCAGCGACACTGCTACTGTGTTTTTGGTTTTGCTTATCAGCCAGGTTAACCTCTCTTAAAAGCACACCTTTCCGCCTCTATGCATTCACACTTTCGTAGTCTTTCTGTTCCTCTCTCTGCTGTCTCCGCCCCCCAGGCACAAAAACACATTCCAATAATATGCATGTATGAGCTAAGCTGCCTGGTGGCAAGCCGCATCACGGGGTCTTCTGAGACTGCCTTCCTGCATTTAAACTGAAACACCTTCAGGCTGCACATGCACAGGGCTGCGCTTGGGCAAACACAGTGAGGCTGTCTGCTGAGGTGGAGTACCATGCGGGCCTTTGCCAGGATATCCGCTGTGCTGTTTCTACTGTCACTGGTAAGTACGGCTTATATGCCCTTTACATATATTGTGACTTTGGTTGTTGACAAAGATCAAAAAAGTTGTTTAAACAATAAGCAAGAAACAGCTGAATTTGCAACTCAGTGTTCAGAACAACAGCAACCATAATAGCACTGTACTGAAGAAGTCTAGGTATAGCATTACCTGTGGTAAATAATAAGAGATATTATTAGCAATTGCAAGAATAAGAAGTGCTACAAAAAAGTGATCTATAAAGAACTTTGCACAATGACAAATTTTAAATGTCTCTGCACAAATGACGATTTTTAAATGACTGTTTAGAATCAATTGTTACACACGCTGTTCGGTTTAACACACAAATACTACCTCATGTCCATTAAGGTTCACAGCTTTTCCCAGGAAGTACTTACAGCAGGAAAGCTGGGTTTGCCTAACCACACAAATAAGCCAGTTGCAGTGTGCAGTCACTCAGCCACAAGATCTATTTACAGTTTGCTCCTCCCCCCAAATTACTGCAAAATAGTACAATTTCACACAAACTTTGTCTTTTCTCTTGAACTTGCGTGGCTAACATTCCACCCGTTGCTGGTCGCTATTCTGTACTTGGCTGATTAACAGAATGTAGCAACCACATCCCTTACTACAGCACTGCATGATACAATGGGCTGGCAATCAATACCTGAGAAGGGAGCAATTATTGACAATGGCTGTTGGCACCGCAAATCCTGATTTGAACTGGAAGAGAACACCAGGCTCTCAAAACAGTCTAATCATCAGCATATATGCAAATGACCAATAATACAAAACAAGAATTTTAATAAAATTACTTATTAAATAGTTCAATAACTTGAGGTATTATTTAAAAGAGAATATCCTTGAGAATAGGGACAAAATCTTATTTTGGAGGAATTTTTATTTTTATTCTTCAATCACGCTGGGAAAATGTTTTTTAAAAGATCAAACATCTTGGCTATTAAACTTTGTAATGGGCCAAACTCCCAGTGATTTCATTTTATCTTAAAAGACATTTTTTGCAGCTGAGAGCTTGAATTTTGTTAACAAAAATTCCCCCCACTGAGGGCAGCAGACCCCTTATCCATGGTCTTCATACAGACTCCTGGAGCCGGGGGGGTCAGACGGCCTTGGTGAGAGTAAGTTGTATGAGAGGCAAAGAACATGATGAGCGAGTAGCAAGGACAGAAAGAAATATAAAATTAAGAAATATGAAAGCTATATATGAATGAACTAAATTAACATAATTAAATAACTACAAAGTAACTAGGGAAATCCCTCAACGTTATAACATAAAACACATTTATAACCCTAATAACACACAGTAGGTTTACAACAGAATTTTTCTTGTTATAAACTAATTTTTTTAATCATTCTGAGCATACTTTTAATGAATATAACAGAAAAATCCGTCTGACGGAGCTGACAGCCAACTGACAAAGTTGACATCATATAAAACACAAAATAGTACGTAAACTTAAAAACTTGGAAGCACACAGATTGCCATTTCAAACATGAATCTACTACTTTTGGTTGTTTCAGACCTTAACAGAACTAAATGAAAATCTTTCAAATGTCTGACAGAGTTGACATCTTACGGAGTTCACAAAATTGTTATATTTTTTAATTTCACAGCATAGTCATAGTGAGTAGCCATTTCATTTTTAAAAGTAGGTAAGAGGTCTCTTAATGCTAATCAAAATATGCATTTTTAAACCAGATCTTTTTTTATTTAGTTTTGGGGGGCTACGGAATTGACCTATTATGCTTGAGACATACCTGATTCAATGTTATTTCATGCATTTATCAAAGAAATTTTAAAAAGCACTTAAAAAGTGCTTGAGCAGTATTCCCTCCTTTTTTGAAACCAGGAAGTGAGGTCAGGGTCCTTAGGATGCAGCGGGTCCTTTTAATAGCCGATTAAATTTTGTTTTTTTGTAGAAATCAGATTGAGTTAACAATAATCTGGGGCATAACTTTAAAGAGAAACCATTTTCATCAAAATATACATTTTAAAACACAGATTATTATAATAGTGAAATTTTACATTTTTTACCTATATTATCTGTAGATATAGTTTTAGATTTTGAAGGCTTTTAACACATTTTTTTTATTGTTTGAACTTGTGAATTCTTGTCTGGGATAAGTTTAAAAAGGTAAAAGTACACCAACAGTTATTTAAATAGATGCTCATACATTCCATCCATGCTAAGCTACATCAAAAAAATAGAATAGTATGTCGATATATAATATATTTTTATTATTATTATTTTGTTAGGACATGATTTGGCCCAGTTCTGAAGATGATATATACACTACCAGTCACCCAGCCAGGTTTTGACCGCTTTTCCATTTATTTCATACACTGTAGATTTTTTATTCTTATTAAGCACTTGGCAGTTGAGTCAACAACTACAAATTGAAATATAAGTCAAATAAAAAAGCTTCCCTTATAACATGGAAAGAGTATGTAACAGTGCATGTCTGACATCCTATTAACTGGTTGTGTGGTGATGGCATAATCAAATGCACTAGTTACCTGTTTCTTCCCTTGAAACAGAGCAATACTTAATGTTGCTTGTAGAAAGAATGCTTTGAATTTTCTTTGCTGTTATAACTTTGATGAATCAAAGACAAATTTTCTTGCAAATAAAGGTACTCAAATGGTGAACATACTGTAAAATTGTAAGGTTTGTAAATTTTACAATTTAGAAATTTTGTAAATTTATAGATGTGTTAGCAAAGAATATTGAGTGTATTTTTAATAAATGTTAAGTGAGTAACATGCAAATGTAGAAAATCTCAGTGTGTGTAAAAACTTTTTACTGGTATTATATATACGCACATACACATGGAGTACTGTGCAAAAGTCTTAAACAGTCACAGAAAATGGTGTTTAAATGATCTTCTTGTTGGTGTAAAACTATGATATGCTGCAACCATCCAATGTACCCATGCATTTTTTGGGCTTGACCATCTTGTTTGCCTAATCAATAACCCATTCAATTATTTAACAAATCAAGTTAATGAAATTGATTGATTGACCGATCGATTGATTGACTGATTGATTGGTGGAGACATTCAAGGAATACGAATACATAGGATGGCTGAGGTGCCCCTAAGGAGAGGTTAAAAAAGAGGAGATTATATATGTGTGTCTGTAAATATATATGTGCGTGTGTCTGTGTGTGTGTGTTTGCAACAAGGCTTTTAAATCACAATATATACATTTTAATTATGGGCGAAAAAAATACTTGTTCTAAAGGTGCTTTTACAGATGTGCATTCTACAAAATAATATAATATCTTACCAAAGAAAGGAAGGTAAAAACATACAGTGGGCTGCCTAGGTGACACATACATATTTTATGCTGTAGCTATGGTAATGTCAGTCTCCAGATAAACTAAACACGAGAATGGTTGTTCTGTCTAGCCTAGAGGCGGTCTGTAGCTGTGGCTGTTTGTGCTGCATCTCAAATAAATGGGGTTACAATAATACAACAGGGTTTTAATCGAAATGACATGAAACTCTGTAACGACTGTTTAATGTTGACCGAAGAACATGACTTAACTTTCTAAACACCTTGTTTTTTAAATCAGTAAAAATGCAGTATTAATTTTTCTGTCAATAGCTGCTTCTCTTTAGCCCTGAAATCAATTATCTAAAGAACTGATAAATGTAAGTTCAGTTTTGTTACATTTACAAAATTATCACACGGATACATTTGGCACTCTGTTACGGAGCCCCTAAGGGCATAGGGTTGGAAGATACTCCGTTTTCTTGTAATTAAGAAGGCAAGCAAGTATTTAGCAAGAGAATGCAAAACTATGAAACCTGCAAAGTTGCAAATCAATTGTGAATGATTGCAAAAGTTTTGTGAGGGAACGCAAAACAGTGGCTAGGCAACACAAAACTGTTTTAAAAATATTTCCAACCCTGTCCCCTGAAGGTCCTCGTATTACTTTATTACTTTGGCTGATATACTTAAACTTTTTAGCACGCCTTCCCATGGTCTAGCGCATTATCTGAATTGTGCAACATGTATTTATTATCTTAATTAAACCTAATTAATCACCATCATATGTAAGGCAAAATCCGGCATTCATTGTCTCAAGGATCAAGGTTATAAACATTGGCTTAATGATACCATATTAATACAAAAGGAAGTAAACTCAATCCAAATGCTACATAATCCATTTAATCCAAGATTTGGAAGTCTACTGTTTAATCAATGTCATATTCATTCAACTTCAGATCAACTTACATTTTTTATACCAGAACGTGCTAGTGCTGGAGGCCTCATCAAACAGTCATGTCCGACAGAAGCGGGCCTGGATCATCGACTCATTCACCATTGAGGAGGAGCATAAAGGCCCATTCCCATATCCACTGGGGAATGTAAGCTTTCCTGGGCATAATTTTCATTTTCTATTCAGATGATTTAAGCTACACAAATTGCTTGAAATGCAAACCTAATTAATACCAGACTTCTCGTGTGCGACTCCCTTTACACATGTGCTCATGCTCAACCTGTCCTCTTAGATCAGCATTCAGCGTGACTACGTTGTGCACTTCATTCTCCATGGAAAGGGGGTAGACGAAGAACCCAAGAATATCCTGAAAATCGATCAAAATACGGGGCTAATTAGTGTTCACGGGAAGGTGGATTATGAGCAGTATCATGTACTGAAGGTATACAGCAGCTAACTCTTAGTCCTGAAACATTACTGCTCGCTCCCCGGGTTCCTCCCATGTTACAACTTTACAATGGGCATGATTATTCAATAAATTGCATGAGATATTCAGCACTTTATTATAAAATAGGTTTTGAGTTAATTATTTTGCCCAGCTGTAGGTTAATGTAAGTGTTATAAGCATGTTTAAGGTAGACTCGACTAGGATATGATGTTTGTTAGGTTAGGTCTAGTGTATTAAAATGCATTTTCACCTTACTGTAGGTTTATCAGAACATACCCCCATCTTAACCCGAGGAGCTTCTGTATCTGTAAAATAATAATAATGTGTGTTTCTAGCAGAAAAGAAAATACTTTATATTCTGTACATGAAAATACAGTTAAGGGAATTAGATTTAAAGTTATCATCTTGAAACTACTAATAAAATAATAAAGATATCTATCATTATTTTAGCAAATACTTGTACTTTGAAACAAATAATTTGTCAAAAAAAGTAATATTTTGCACTGTTCTTGCAGCTAACATTTGAAGCTAGAAAATCCTCATCAGTTGTGGACACCAAGCTTGGTGTCGAGATAAATATATTGGACATAAATGACCATGCCCCAGTATTCCAAAAAAAAGTATATGAAACGACGACTGAAGAATCAATGACACAGGGTAAATCATCTTCAGAATTACGAAATATTAATATGATTGCTGTACATGCCATTACAGGTATCTTACATTTTGTACAGTTGTAATTCATTAAATTATAACGTTCCTCTTTTTTTACCTGTCAAGGATCCAATGTTTTGACTGTACTGGCAACAGATTTTGATAAACCAGGAACCCCAAACTCAACTTTTCAATATAAGATACTTTCTGTGACCCCTAAAACCTCCAATGCTGAGTTTTTCATTGAACAAAGTGGCAAAATATCATTTAAAGGATGTTTGGACTATGAGGTAAGAGACAATTTTCCATCACATGGGGTTTTGTTGCCCCTTAAAGATGTCCATCATATTGCAAAAGTTGTTTTTAAAGTGTGCACAAAAGTTAAAGATGCACGTGAGTCATCAAACATGTTTGTTGTCCTGCAGAAAGCAAAGACGTACAATGTAGTGGTGGAAGCAAAAGACAATGGTGAGGTGGTGCGTCTGTCCAGCAACACTACGGTCAGCATCAGCATAACAGACAAAAACAACCACCTGCCTACCTTTGCTGGTCGCACGGTAAGTTTTAAAGGCTTGTTTTTTTTTTTTTTGTTTTTTTTTTTGTATGAACCAAAACAGTCCAAAACAAATAGAATTTCAAAAACAACACAACATTTTATTGTAGTGCACTTAAAGTTGACATTCTTTTCTTTCTTGTTACCTAAAGAGTTCTTTGGTCAAAAAGTAACATTTTTTTTTTCTCTCTCATAAGTTTCAGAATATTAGACCACATTGTTCTAGGTGTCAAAAAAGATTACTGACGCTCCCCACAAACAGAAAAGACAGGATTGACTTTCTTTGCTTGACTTCAGCTGACAATGAGTCAACACTGAAACAGCAGCTCACTATGTAATATCCTTAATAATTACTTGAGCATGCAGTCACTTGTTGGGCGATTGGTGTTTCTTTCAGGCTGTGCACACAATGCTGTGTGATTTCCATGGTTTAAGATTCCTCAGTCGCTTATTAAATTACATGATATTTGACAGATTCCTTTAAGCACAATTAAATATCCATTCCAAAAACAGCTGTATAAGGATTTCATTTGCCATTTTGCGCACCAGTCAAGCCCCATGTGGCGCCCCCTGTCTGAAACAAAGTGAAAGTGCCTTGCTACAGTAACTCAGCACCCCCTCAGGAAATGGCGCCTTGTGTCTCTTAATGGGTGGAGTGGCACTGGCTTTGTTTTCATTATATTTCACTACCATAAAAAAATAAACACCAAATAATGACATTTTCATGCCTACTTTGGATGAAAAAGGCATTTTGATTGTGATATTCCCTCTAAAATGTATCCATAGTAACTGGCCCATGATCTGGCAGGTCTATCGTGTCTCTTGAATTAGCAAAACCAAAACATATATTGGACATAAATGACCACGCCCCAGTATTCCAAAAAAAAGTATGTGAAACGACGACCATTGTGGCATTATTTCCCCTCATTCTGCACTTGGGAATTTTTCTCTATTTGCTGAGCAAACCATAACACTATGCTCTGTCAACAGATATGACAGAGCACACAATGCAAAGCTGTTTTATTGAGATGTGTATTTGAAACTGCCTCTGTTTCCCAGGGACCAGGCAGAATCAATGAGAGAGAGTCAGGAGTTTCTGTTTTGCGAGTACATGTTACGGACAAGGACTCCAAAAACACGCCGGCGTGGAGGGCCAAGTACACCATCCACGGAGACAAGGACAATGTCTTCAGCATCCACACTGACCCAGAAACCAATGACGGAGTACTGGTCGTTGAAAAGGTAGATTGGCGTGCCCACTCTTGCCAGGAATGCCAAATACAGAGTGTTGCTTTGTATGTTCATGTTACGCAGGCCTGGGCAATTACGTTCTGTGGAGGGCCAGATTTGAACTTCATTGTTTCAGCAGGGGCAATTTAATAATAATAATAATAATAATAATAACAATAATACATTTTATTTATAGAGCTTTTCAAGGTACTCAAAAACGCCTACCAATGAGTGTCTTCATGTCCCATGACAGCTATGATAGATAACATTTTCTTTTGAAGAAATTTCATTTTTACATGTCGGGATGGAAGTAGCAATTGTATTTATGATTGTATAATAAAACCCGTTTATTTTAATGTTCTTGAGGGCCAATAAAAATAGCTCTTTCGCCCAAGTCTGATTTTGCACATGGCAGTACAGTGAACACTGGTGAACGTTGTCCATGTTCCACAGCCCCTCGACTTTGAGTTGGCCGCCAGTAGAAACCTTACCATCAGTGTGGAGAACGAGGAGCCATTCTTCTCCTGCCAGGTGCAGAAGAAGGCCGAAACGGGGCTGTGGGAGGTGCTTACGACAGCAGGGGTGCCTGGACAGGAGGGAGTGCCTGCGGCTCACACCGAGGCCATAACCGTGTTTGTGGATGATGTGAACGACCCTCCAGCCTTCAAGCCGCCCGTGAAAATCATCATGGTCGAAGAGAACCTAGAAGTGGGACATCTGCTCGAAACTCTCACTGCGATAGATCCGGATCGCACCTATAATAGTGAATTTGTGTAAGAATGGGGGCCTGGTCGGAAATGAAAGGAATGTACGACAGAAGTGACAACCAATGTGCAAATGTGCATGCCAAAGGCTTGTTTTAAAAGTACAGACGCTCCTCTACTTTCAAACTTCAATTTACTCCTCAATTTACGAACTTTCAGACATACAAACGAAGAGGACTGTAAGTTCAAATTGTGTTCGTTGGGCTCCCGTTTCCTGTTCACAACATCAATTTTTTTTTTTTCTGCACGTCAATTCCACCTAGTGTGACTTCTGGCCGCTACTCCCACCACGCAGCAGCGTAGCGTGCGTACTCCCAGCATCCTAGTTCTTTGTACTTGTGTATACCCTTAAAATGATGTTGAATAATGACTTACGAACATTTCAAGTTACGAACGGCCATTCAGAACGTAACTTGTTCGTAAGTAGAGGAGTGTCTGTAACAAAACTGCTATATGTCACATATATTGATCTAAAAGAAAAAAGTTCATGCATGTCAAAGTATAGAAAACAACAGTGAAAATATTTTATGCACAGATTTGAAATGCCTATGCTTCTTCTTTGCTTTATACTAATATTACATGCACATATACATGTTTCCTGTTTTACTAGGAGTTTAAATGCTTTCATTCAGATAATTTATTATTAAGCAACAAAATACGGTATTTTTTACTTTGTTTCAAATGTTTTTATTGCTAACTTGGTTTAATTGATTCTGTTCTGTTTACATCTGTCATTTTGTTTCAGGTACAAGATAGAAAAAGATCCAGGTAATTGGGTGACTGTGAATCCAAAAACTGGACAAATTACAACTGTGAAGACACTGGACAGAGAGTCGCCTTACGTTGTGAATAATACCTACACTGTAACCTTGTACGCAATAGATAAAGGTAAGAACCTGCTCCTGCAAATGTGGCTCTGTGAGGTATCTCACCACACCCTGCTGGGGAATATTTATTTTTGCACAAAGCCTTTGAATGCCTGTCATGTGTAACCAGTCTGCAGCTGCACCTCTTGGGAGTTGATCAAACAGAGAGCAATAGCTTGTAATTCCACTTAAACAGCCGATGAAAGGTCACTCCCTCCCCCCTTTTCACGCACCCCTGCCCTTCTTGCTCGGCGGCGTCCCTTCACTGCCTCAGGCAAGCCGCCATTGACAGGCACAGGATCTCTCATCATCCACCTGAAGGACCAGAATGACAACGTGCCAGAGTTGCTCCAGCACGCGGTGGACATGTGCCTGTCGGACGGGCCCACGGCGGTCCAGATCGCCGCCCATGACCGGGATCAGGACCCTTTTGCCGGGCCCTATCTCTTTGAGCTGCAAGGTGACGTCAAGGGCAAATGGCACCTTGATCCTTACCACGGTAATTGGATAACTCAGGTGGGACGCGTTTCTGATACCTCCTGACACAGCAAGTACTCATGGTTATCTAAGCGCTTTTGTAGTTAACATTAGCTGGCGTGGAAAGAGTGCGGAACAAAGCAAGAGTCCTATCAAAATTTTTAATGATCGATTAGATGCATTTGGATTTTTAATGCCCAAACTAAATTCTTTTCAAATGACTTTTAATTTTTTTTAACCTGACATCCTTACTCATACATAATTTTGGGAAATAGTCAGAATATTGTAATTTAACATATGAAATATTATAGAAAATAGAAAATATTATAATCTTACTGAATATTATTCAACATTAGCTAAAAGAAACGCATTTAGCTAGCATCATTGTCCGTATTTGCTCAGCGTCACTGAACACAAAAAAGCAGAGAAATCACAAATGTGTTAGTTGTACGATACGAAGTGGTGTGCTTCCTACAGGGGAAACGGCTACCCTTGTGAGGGAGAAGACGGTGTACGCTGGGCCACACGAGCTGCAGCTCAAGGTCTACGACACGCAGGGTCACGGGTCCCTGCAGAACCTCTCAGTCACCGTGTGCGACTGCACTACCTCGCCCAACTGCCAGATGCAGCGCGCAGTGACATCGCGGGTCACCAACAGTGCACTCGGGGTCATGATCATCGCACCGCTTGTGTTACTGGGTAAGATGATATTCAAAAATACCGATGCAACTCGTATCGGGCCGCCAGTCAAACCATACACCTGATTTTTGGTTGGGAAATTCATTTGCCTTTTGATGGGCTGGGATCTTGTTCCCATTGCTCCCTGCATTGAGAACTGTAAGATGATCCCTGCTTACCAGGTATGGAACAAGCAGTTATGGGTGAATTGAAACTGGATTGACTGTAAGCAATCTATTATCATTTCTTCACTCTGTCAGTTAGATTCAATGCTTATATTATGAAGTCGAAACCACAACTGGGTACTGGGCTGACAGTGTGATTACAAATTATTCACTTTTAAGATTGGTAGGCAGCAGATATGGGGTGTGCAGTGTAAAAATGTGTAGGTGTGCAGTTTTTTTTTGCACACTATCATTCACAGAAAACAGGAAATATGCATTCTTAAAAGTGAAAGTGGGGTAAGTTGCATAGCTGCATAGCTAATATAGGGTTAGAAAGTACATGGGTAATATCCCAGAAAGCAATGGGCACAAAGCAGTGAACATCCTGCATGTGTAAAATATATCATGATAATACAACAATGAAAGTTGGTGTAGGCTCTAAGGCTGCTTAATTAAAGCGCTGCGTCTTTTGATTTCTTATTACCCAGTTCTCACATTTTGTAAAACTTCAGTCACATGTCTGTCTCACATTCTATCAATCCATCGATTTTCCACCACTTTTTTTTGGCGTATTTCGCCCTCTAGAGGTTAATCACTGAACTTAGAAACTTTGAGATGTACTGTGCATTAATATCAAACTGTATCCTTTTCGGCTTCTCATTTACTTTCAGCTGTGTTTGGCAGAAACATATTTAATCACATGAATGTTTCGTTTAAGGTGTCCTGCTTCTGGCCTCATTTTTATCTTGCAAGAAGGAAAAACCAGTCATGCAAGTCGACCACGGCACTGGAGAGTACTTGATTACGTCCAATACTGAGACACCAGGAACAGATTGTCCGGTAATTACATATTACATTATTATCAATCAATCGCCAAGTTTGGTTATTTTCCAGCTTTCATTTACCTGTGAGCCAATGTGAAGCCTCTGTAGCCAATCATAATCAGAAGTAATTATCAAACTATCTACTTGGGAGAACTGAAAACATGGCCTGGATTTGGAATCCAGTTTCGCTTTACATCATCAAGACGTGGGATATGTATTATACAGCATTGTTACTCATATTGTTTTCTAATCTATATAGATTCCTAATGAAGTACAGAAAGATCAGGTGGAGCACATTTCCAACGGTGTGACTTTGCAGAAGGTGCAAATGAGCCAGCAGGTAAACTGCCAAACGGAGCAACGTTATTAGAAGTCCATCACCTGTCATAAGCTGTGCGTTTACTTGAAAAGTATGTATTTTTTGCAGTGTGCAATACAATCCAGCATTAAAGGGCAATCAAATTTATTACAGATGGGAGGGACATTTTCCCAGCAGCTACCGAGAAAGACTTTGAACAGGGTATGTGAATAAATGCACCTGACTGGCTTCCAGATTATACCTAATTATGACACACCCAAACAGTTTACCCTTTCCTTTGCAGAGCATGAGCAGTAGGTCATACATGAAAGCTGGACCCTACCAGGTATGTCACACAGCTGAACTACAATTAGTTCTTCTGCCCCATGTTATCATTATTTAGTCACCAATACATTATCGTGAGAGTGACAGGACAATTTGCATAATTTTGGTCTCTTGCATTTATGGTCTGGAACAGAACTCAGCACTAAGAAGATCTATGTCTACATCAAGAGAAAATTATACTAAAATGAGACCCTTAGACTTGAGATCCATTCTTAATCAGGTGAGTCAATTTAGAACCATGACAAGAAGTGTTTCTGTTCACACTTTCTATTGTCGGAAGGTGCCGCTGTGCAAGGTGTCAGTTACCTGACTCTTTGCCCCAGTGATTCGGTTATTTCATTTTTTAAACCTGTGTGGTCACACATTTCATTCCTTCACTTGCAGAAGATGTATTCCATTCAAGCTCATGAGGAGCCGTCGGATGATCTTCCTAAGCTCTACGCCTACGAGGGCGACACACCGAGCCACTGCCAGTTGGACTGCATCTCCATCCCTGATAGCGAATTTACTCCTGACAGACTTCAGGACCTGGGTCCCAGGTTTAATGGGTTGGCTGCTGTGAGTAGGCCAACATACGATTCCAGATAGGGTCCACAGATAGGGTCCACTCTGACCCCAACCTACCGCAGCCAAGATCCCAGCCTACCAGCAAAGCTACTTTTTTGGAAGCGTGCAGTGATATGTTAAGGTATATAAAGAGCAGAGTTGGACATGAACTAGGTGTGGGAATCCCACCAGCTGGGATAGCAAAGAGAACCACATGATGCAGAATTGGCAGTTTATTATGGAGAGAGTTTCCCTCTTCGGGGTAACAAAATTTGGCAGGTGTAGGGTCAACTTAAGAAGGGTGAAAGATGAAAATCAAAACATATAAAAAAAAAGGGTAAGGGTGATAACTCCAACAAAGCCATACCATACGTGACATTTCCGTTTTGAATATCTTTTTCAAATCTTTTTTGGG